GAGCCAAGTGTACGGTGTCTCTGGCGGCCACATAGCCGTCGCCAATAAAACGGGGAAAAGTTCCGACCCGACCAGGATTCGATCCCCAGACCGAGCTTACCCAGCTGACCCCGTGCCAGCACGCTCGCCACTCGGCTGTCGGCTCCACTTGTCAACAAGAGGTTCAGAACTCGGTCCCGCTTTACGGGTCTTGGTCTCCCTTATTGCACGCGTTCAGGTCGGCTCAAGTCCACCTCCTCGACGCGCTGCAGCCCGGGTCGAATTCTGCCCAAAAACACGGAAAAGGTACCATAAATGGACCTAACCTAACCCCCGCGCGCCCAAGGGGCTCTTTTACTGGTCATTTTCCGTGTTTCGGGCCAAGAGCCGACCCGGGCTGCAGCGCGTCGAGGAGGTGGACTTGACCCGACCTGAACGCGTGCAATACGGGAGACCAAGACTCTTCGAGCACCTGACCGAGGTTTGAACATTCCAGTGACAACTGGAGCCGACAGCCGAGCGGCGAGCGCGCTAGGGCTTGGTGCAGAAGACACCCTCAGCCCCGGGGTCGAGTCCTCGTCGGGGCGAACATTTTCATGTTGTTTTTTGGCAGGGGGAGGGGGGGGGGGCTGCTGAGTAGGCGGTCAAGTCCACCTCCCCATGTCTTTTGTCTTAACCCTTGGTCCCCGCACCGCAAACTGCTACATAGGAAAAAATGAACCTCGGACAGTATTCGAACCGACAACCATCCGCGTCCCGAGCGCGCGCTCTACCAACTGAGCCAATGATGAGGGTTTTGCATAGGGGAAGCTTATCTCCGATGTGGCTCTCACCCCGAAACATATGGCTGGCAGACGGAAAAGGGTTCCGTCGACTAGATTCGAACCAGCGACTGTTTGCGTACCGGCCCATCACATCAGGCAGGTGTCGCACGGCTGTAAAGTCATGGCCAGCGGAGCGCGAAAATTATCACCCGGCCGAGATTCGAACCAGTGACCAGGTTCGTACCGGGCTCGGACGCTACCGACTTGGCCACGGCGGAACGGTACAGAGAACTACTATCAGCGGCATCTTGATCTAAGCTGTGACCGACGCCCGAAGACACTTGGACAGAAAAGCAGGGAAAAATGACCGCGGATGGGATTCGAACTAGAGACCACCCGCACGATCTGCCAACGATCAAAGTTTAACACGCTCGGTTACCTGCTTGCTTCTACGGGGCCGAGGTCTAAGCTCGGTCATGCCTAACGGGAGACAAAAAGCGACAAAGAAAAAATTTGCCCCGCCCGGGAGTTGATCTTAGGGCCGACAATTTTGGTTCGGATGAAGCTGCATGCGGTCATGTCGACTGTAGCTACAACTGTTTAACTACAAAAGGGGCGTGTGGCTAGTGGAGTCGGACATCGTATGTTGCCCCATTTGTGACCACATTTTTGTGTCCATAAACAGGGACGTGTCTACTACCACTTGTCGCCGCGACATGAGTTGTCGCAGGGACGCCTGCGAGGTAGGCCACGGCTTCTATCTAAGGCGTCTGTCGTGACGGGGACTTTGGGTTTAGGCTCCTTTTGACTCCAGGCTCATAAATCCTTTCTAAAGCTAAGAAGTGACGCCGTGTCAATCTAGGCGTGGGTCGATGATTGTCGCTGAAAACGCCTGGAGGGTAGGCAATGCTTTCCTGAATCGTGCCCCCCCCCCGGCCCCCTGTCCCTCCGAGCGCTTGGACAAGGCGAGAGCTTCGGAAAGGCATTGATATCTCTCGTTTTCGCTTTAGTTCTTGGCGCAGTTGACTTCTGGTTGATATTCTAGCATTGGCGGAAGTAATGAATTCGTCTATAGACAGTTCAGTTTAAGCTGGCTCGGGCACTGTCGGCTGTTGCTAAAATCGTGCTGTAGCTAAAATCGTGCAGCTACAAACAGGGACGTAGGCCGCGGCAGACCATAGACGGATACGCCGGGGGAGTATCGTTCTCACCTCCTCGATGATTCCCAGGAACCTGTCACCGGGTATTCCGTGCGAGGCGGGTATGTCCGAGAGGGTGTACAGCGTCGCCTCCGCCAGACGCTCGACGAACACGCGGAGGGAAGTTTCATTCTTGACACGGAATCTGCGGAAAGCGACAACGGGACGGGCGGATGAGTGAGAACGACCCTTGGTCGTCTCGGCACGACCCTCAGTCGTCGGACCGACCCTCGGTTCTCGGTACGACCCCGCCTTCCGCACGATGCGGTGGTGGTCAGGTTGGTGCCCGTTTATCGTCGGAGTTGCATGTGTTGCGGGCGGAAGGACATGAGGCCTCCACCTAGTACTCTCCAAGAAGACGGAAATTCAGTTCACGACCGACAATCGTTTTTGTCATTATTTTGCATTTTGGATCATCCATCCAGAAAGTACGTCCGTTACGAGCCTGCCACGTTCAGCCTTTGCACGCTCTCATAACGCCTAGTAGGTAGGCAACATCTCGCCTACAGGGCATTCGTGTACTGCGGGGTGGCCTACCCCGAGTCTCGCAGGCGCCTAGCTCCTGTTATTTGCCGAATGAATCCGAGAAAAACGGACGTACTACTGGTCGATCTCTTTGCCTTCTGTCACCTTAACGGCAAAACCGGCCAAGGCAAAGATTAAATAGCATCGTAGAGCAGTTAAACCGAGTAAAGAGTCACCAAGAGAGACACCTTGTTTTCGTATAGTCACTTAGTGTACCCTCAATCCGATCTACGTACCATTACATAACGTACATTTTACAGGTTTCAGAGCTTCTCTTCCTCGACATTTTTAGAAACTCTATAAACCACGACACTCTTTCGTTTCCCACGCCTTGACGACTAGTTCAAAACCACTCACTCGCGGGCCAGCCGCTGCACCGCGGCCGCCACGCGCGCTGGGTCGCGCCGGCCCTCCGGGTTCGGGCAGAGGGTGAGGGACGGGAAGGTTGTGTTCCACGACATGTAGTCCCGCTCCAGGGCGATGACGGTGGGGTTGTCCTGGTAGCGGCGCCACGTCGAGTTGGATATGGAGTACGTGCTGTACCAGGCCAGTGCCACGACCAGCGCCCACAGAGCCCTGAACTCCCCCCCCC